GGTAACGTGACTGTAGCGATGGATTCGGGTGATTACAAACAGAAGATGAGTGAGATTTTGTCGGACAATAGCACCTATGAAATTATAAAAAAAGATCCAACTAACACTCTCTCGAAAAAGCTTAGAGATCTTCTTACGGTTTGGAAGAGGAAAGGTTACATTTCGCAGCGTGATTATTATTCGTTGTATATTAGTGATGGCGTGTTACCTAGAGCTTATGGCCTTCCTAAGATCCATAAAAATGGTTTTCCTTTAAGAGTTATTGTTTCTGCTGTGGATAGTCCTCTTTACTCTTTAGACAAATTCTTACATAAAATCATTTTTCAAGTCGGTTCGGATTCTCCTAGGTCAATTATAAATAGCTTTGAATTGATCAAAAAGTTAGACAGCATACAATTAAATGTGGATTCTACTTTGATTTCGCTTGATGTTGTTTCATTGTTTACCAACGTACCAATTGATTTAGCTTTGGAAAGTATTAATAATAGATGGTCACAAATTCGTAGCAATACTTCCTTTTCTAAAATAGAATTCCTTAGAGGACTGAAATTGATTTTTGACTCAACATTTTTTTCATTTGACAATATTATATATAGACAAAAATTTGGTATGCCAATGGGTTCTCCTTTGTCTCCAGTTATTGCAGATATCGTTTTACAAGATTTGGAACTTAAAGCACTAAATTCTTTAAACTTAGAGATCCCATTTTATGTTAGATATGTGGATGATATTGCGATGGCTGTTCCTTGTGATAAAACTTCTGAGATTCTTGCTATTTTTAATTCTTTTCACGCACGTTTGCAGTTTACTTTGGAGATTGGGGGGGATTCGCTTAATTTTCTCGACATCACCATTATTAAAAATAATTTGACGATTGAGTATGACTGGTTTCATAAGCCTACGTATTCGGGTAGATATTTAAACTTCCTTTCTCAACATCCTCTTTCCCAGAAAAAAGGCACGATTATGGGGTTAGTTGATAGAGCATTTCTGTTATCGAGTCCAAAATTTCATCAAAAAAATATTATTACCGTCATTGAAACATTGCTTAATAATGACTATCCGGTGGATTTGGTGTTTAATGTTATTAATGAGCGCTTAAAGTCTTTACGTAATAAGAAAACTTCTAGACAAACTGCCCAGCCTGCTAGTACTGCTGATGAACCTCCTATATCTTGGTTCCCTTTTCCTTTTGTTGCAGGCGTTTCATGTAGACTTAAACGCTTATTGAAAAATCTTAATGTTAATATGGCCTTTTTTAGCCTTAATAAGTTAAATTGTTGTATAAAGGCACAGAAAGATAGATTGGGCAGGATGTCGAAAAAGAATGTAGTATATAAAATCCATTGTAAAGATTGTGATGCCACATATGTTGGTCAGACGAAGCGAACATTGAACACTCGGATTAAGGAACATAAGAATGATATTAGAAAGACCAGTGGCAATTTCTCAGTTGTCTCGGAACATAGAATTAATTTTGATCATGATTTTTGTTGGAACGATGTAGAGATTTTAGACAATGAAAGATTTTCATATAAAAGACAAATAGCAGAAATGTTACATATAAATTTACAAAATCACAG